TTTTAACACTATAGGGTCAGGAATACATGTTTGTGTTCCTGACCCTATAGTGATCTTTAATTTAATAGCGAGCAATATATTACTGGCTAAAATAAGAATATTTTTATTTTCCTTTGGGAATTCAAACAGGAAAAGCCAGATACTAGGATTTAAAGTAAATTCTGTTTTAAAAATAAAATTTCAAATGTTCGTTGTTTCATATTGAATTTCCTGCAACTTTCTGCTATTCCGCCAAACATGATAAAAGAAGCCCATATCTATATTATATTTCAAGCATTAGCCAGGGACATTTCTATCAAACTCAACGATCATCTAGTGGGCACTAGATACCATCTATGAAGTAATTTATAATAACCATGATCCACCCTTCATACCAGCTCTATATCAGAGGAGTGATCTTTAAATCATCTTCCCATTTTTAAATTGAAGAGGTTGCAACAAAACCTTGATAGTTAACAATTCACTTTTTAACCCAATAGATCAGTTTAGAGGCATATTTCTTACAAATAAAATCATCTAATGAAGTTACTTCATCAATGAAATTGTTTTTGAAAACATTTTTAATTCTAAAATAAGAACATTTCTATATTTTGGAACGAAGATTTTGACTGAATTTCATTCAATGTAAGACTATTGCCAATATATATAATATCTACTAAAGTAAAATTTTGTTTATTGGTTTATCCAAATAAATCAATATTCTGCAAATAATATTTAAGGACCATGATAGGAGTAGTAGATGAGAAATAATTTGGATTCCCAACCTTGATTTGATCACAGTCCCTATTTTTACCGTACCCTTCAATAATGGGTTGTTACCTTTAAAGGAGTTAACTAAAGAATGTTTGACCCAAAATAAATTAAATGGATTTACGCCCCAAAACATGCTTATATTCAAACACACAAACACTGCTCAGTGCTAAATACAACCCTGCAAGCATGGGAAAATGTAGAGCCCCAGCTGTCAAAGCATTGTTGGAGCTGCACAAAAGATGGGAATCTACCTTTTGGCAACCCCTAAATAAATTCTTACACAATGGCCCTCTCTGCTTTAGTACCACCACTGTGATTGATGTGTAGGGTGTTATTGCATGCCAGTGAGTGCTTGCCAAGGGTCTAATCACTATTAAAGACGGCCCTGGCCGGCACCCTGTCTAAATGACAGGATGTTCGAACCACAAATGAAGCAACTAGAGATAACGGAGCAGAGGTGAGTATTATGGGAATATTTCTTTGACCACAAGAAACAGAGCGGTCTTAATCTCCTCCTTTTATCAAAGAAGGCAAAGCGTAGGAAATACATAAGACAAAGTAGTCCCTAATTTGTCTTATGTTTTAAAGAAAACTAGATCAGATAGGAAGAAAGAAGAACAGATGCTAAGAGAAGAAGTGAAGAGGAAAAGCTTGGAGAAAGGTAAGTTCGGCATGACAGCGCCGCTTTAACAAAAAACGTGGACAAAAAAACAAAAAAGTCCTTGTCCTCTATTAAACTAACAAGCACACTAAATACAACTCAAACAGTCTGAAATACATATATTCCATGCACACAACAAATGCCCCTTGAACAATTCACATCCAAGCAAAAGGAACCTCTGCCCTGCAGTCCTTGGTCCACAACAGTAGACATCAAGCCTAGTCCACTATAACAGATATATTGATCAGTTTAAAAAAAAATATATATATATTATTTTGTAAAGCACAAATAGCTCATTCAATAATTATATTATTATTAAACATATCTAACCAGTAACTCAAGAGGAATTACATTTAATAGTGAGTCAAGGACTCCTAAAAAAACCTTATTGGTTTTTGAAATGTTTGTAGAAAATCCCACTTTTAAAACCAAAACTTACTTTAAAATGGGCAATCAATTAGAATGCTATAAAAAATAAAAAGCATGCCTTGGAATTTATATCAAAGTGTGCTGAAAAAAAGATGAGGTAGAGTATATTTAAATTAAAATGCATGTACAGCAGTTGCAACAGTCAGAACATTCAGAATATAAACACAAAATACATTTCATAGCAATACAAGCTAATATATTTTCAAGTTTAGTATAAAAAAAAATCTCCATGCTGTTATTTTTTTTTAGATAAAATAATAGTACAAAATCAAAGAAAATAGAATAAAAATAATTTATTTGTAATGGAGTAAAAAGTATAAAACAGATTTTGGTATAAAACAGCATTGAAGAAACACCAATATTAAGGATTCCTTTAAGAATGAGAATGAGTTATTTCCATTAAAGCATTGAGTGGGCTATAGGACTACTACCTTTAGAAGAGTAAGACATGTAAGATTTGTTTATGATAACACTCAAAATATATACTGTACAACAAAGAGGAAACAGATCACTTGCCACACTTCTCATTTATTTCTTGTATTGCCCATGTGGACTCCAAAGTGTAGGGATGACAACTAGACAATTTAAAATCCAACTTGGGAGTAACATGGGCAAAAAAAGAAACATACAGATTTATTTACTAAACTGAGCATATAAAGTATGTTCCATTATATATAGTTAGTAGTTGGTGCCATGTTTTTCTGGCATGATATGTTTATATGGGAACCCAACTAAGCAACATCTGCTCATTATTGGACAAGTATTAAAAATGTATGGTATAAAAGAGTACACTGCAGAAACAAGGTCATTCTGGTAAAGACTTTTCAACTGGAAACTGTTCTCTTGCATATGTCTTTCTGAACAAAGTGTTAATCCAATGTTAATACAATTTAAAAATATTTTTGAAGGGTAACTCCAAGCATAATAACTTGTGTTACTTGTGAATGTCATTGAGCCCACAAAGTGCTGCTATACTAAACACTAACGTGGCAATTTATAGGAAACCATTATTTCCTAACTCACTTCCTGGTCTTTCAGCAGTCATTGCCAAAGCTGTGGATTTACTGAAAATATGGAATTACTTTAATTAGGAGTATCTCTATTTAAATTTTTGTATTGTTTTCAATATTTTTGTATATTTTATAGCAGCAGTTCCCAAACTGTGTACCGTGGAATGTACACAGAGGTGCCGCGGAATGTTCCCCGTTGCTATGATTATAGCACTGGTGAAACATTCCTGCTGAACAGGGGCCCAGTCGGCTGGCTGGAAGGAAGTGAGAGGAGGCAGCCGCAGCGTGAGGGGAGAGAAGAATGAAGAGTTCCAAACCCCTCACTCCCACCAGCAGCAGCAGGACTAGGACTTTAAGCCACCCTCCTGGACACACGCTTACTGGAGGGTGGCTTGAGATATTCAAACTATCATGTGAGAGTGTGTGTGTGTGTATGTATATGTGTGTGTGTGTGTGTTTGTGTATGTATGTGTGTGTACTGTATGTATGTATAAGTATGTGTATATGTACATGTGTGTATACATGAGTGTGTGTATGTATGAGTGTGTTTGTATGTGTGTGTGTGTGTGTATTTATGAGTGTGTGTGTGTATTTATGAATGTGTGTGTGAATGTATATGTATGAGTGTGTGTACGTATGTATGTGTGTGTATGAGTGTGTGCATGTATGAGTGTGTGTGTATATATGCGTGTGTGTATGCATGCGTGTGTATGTTTGTGTGTGTATGTATGAATGTGTGTGTCAGAGTGTGCATGTGTGTGTCTCAGGGTGTGCATCTGCGTGTGTCAGGGTAGGGTGTATGTGTCAGTGTCTATAGGAATTTGTGTGTATGTTTATCTGTGTAAGTATGTATGTATCTGATTATGTATGTACATACATCCAAGCATTCATAAACCAGCACAATATACAAACACACTCCTGCAATCTAACAATATACAATATATTATGTACAAACACACACCTGCATTCAATCTCCAAAAGGATATACAAATAAACCCGTTCACTCAAACACAAATACTTCACACAAATGTACATCTGCATTTAAAAGTGAACATGACTGCTGTCTAGATGTCTGTACCACCCACCCAATGCCCCCATTTCCCCAATAACACACAGAGACTGTAATTACGTTGGGTAAGGGCATCGGCCACAGCTTTTATTTATTAATTTCCATGCCAGCAACATAATCATACTGTCAGCTGTTGGGGTGATTGCCCAACAGACAGGTCTATCCCCACAAACCATGAGTCCTGAGCAGCCTGCTTCCGCCATCAGCTCCCAACAGGCTGCGACTCCCCAAGCCTCCTCGGCAACTTCACCACTTCTGCCTGCGCTGGCCAGGACTCCCGCGTGCTGTGACAAAAACAAGAAAAAACAACCAACAACAGGCACCAACAAACAACCCACATTCCTGTCTAACTAAATGTCCTAGGGGCGGGAGGGCGGGAAAGTCAGGATCCCTGCACTTCCAAAGCTGACTGGTAAGTCCCCTCCCCTAACTGTCCTTATAACTGTCTTCCATCTTGGCAACTATGTATCCATTTATACCCCTCCCTTCCACTACTCCTTCAAGACTCCTTATCCTAGCCGCAGTCATGTCCCCCCTTCCTTGTCAGTCCAGGGAGGTGTCTTGACTGCTGTCTAGATGTCTGTACCACCCACCCAATGCCCCCATTTCCCCAATAACACACAGAGACCGTAATTACGTTGGGTAAGGGCATCGGCCACAGCTTTTATTTATTCATTTCCATGCCAGCAACATAATCATACTGTCAGCTGTTGGGGTGATTGCCCAACAGACAGGTCTATCCCCACAAACCATGAGTCCTGAGCAGCCTGCCTCCGCCATCAGCTCCCAACAGGTTGCGACTCCCCAAGCCTCCTCTGCAACTTTACCACTTCTGCCTGCGCTGGCCAGGACTCCCGCCACCGCGATGACGACTTCCCCTCACGCCTCCTGCCGTCATCGCGCTCCCCGCCGACAGCGCAGCCTCAATCCCACCCTGCAAGCCCGTGTTCAGGATGTCTAACCCTATTTCGTTTAAATGGACCCCATCCTTTCTCATCAAATTCTGGTTCTCTCCTTCCAGCTCCACGTGTCGGATGACCACTCCTCCTAACCGCCGTACAAACTTCCCCACCGCAGTGTTCAGCTTGCGCCGGCTCTTCTCCAAACCGCGAGAGTGCGGAAGCGCGCGCCAGCACGGCCTGGAAACCACCTCCGACCAAACCAAGGTCATGTCTGGAAAGAGCGCCATGCACCTCGCCAAGTCGTGCCGAATCGCGTGGAGAAGGTCCACAGTCCGGGATACCCCTAAGTCGTTACCACCCGCGTGGACAACCGCCACCACCGGCCCCGACACAAACTTACGCAGGGCCACGAACTCTGGATAAATCTGCTGCCACCGGAGGCCCCTAATGCCCTTCCACCGGACTCTGGCCACGTCCACCGAAAACCCCAAATTCCATCCGTAGGCCCGGCCTTCAGCTCGCCTAGCTGCCCAGTACACATAGGAATGCCCTATAATCCACACGTACCGGGGCCGACCACCTACAACGAGAAGAGGGTTACAGCATATGAGGTCGGACGTAAGACTTAAAACGCCCCGACCCCCATCTTCCAATCCGTTGAATTCCCGCAGCCGAGTACCCCAACACACTCGCCTGGGTAGCCGCCCCGATCCGAAAGGAATGGGCCGAAAACCCGTGACCATCCATACCACTTGCAACCAACGCTTTCTTCAGCATCACCGAGAACTGATACCGGGTTAGAGGAGACCCGTCCACGTGAGCTAACAAAGGGCCTCCCCGCTCCGGGCGCACCTCCAGAAAAGCGTGGAAGGCCCCAACCGGACAGACTTCGTCCCTCGTGGCCCCCAAACGAACCCAGGCCCCCGGGCCGCCTGGTCCGTCTTAGATCGTCGCACAAAAATGTCGACGGTTGAAGGAGACCATCGCACATCCGACAATGCCAACGGCGAGGCCTTCCCCTTGCTCGGGGCCACCAACTCGCCGATATGAAAGGCACCAAAAAAGCAGACCGAGAATGCCACGCGAAACAACTTCGACACGTACTCCGAACCACAGACCGACGGTAGCACTAACATAATCCGCCGCAACATGTCAACCGAAATTGGACGACGACCATCCGGGCGACGCCTCAGCCGCCAACCCTTGACCACCCTCTGAATCCCATAGTCCTTAGTAACATCCTGCCAGCCCATAAAACGAAACAAGAACGACAGGGCAGCCAACGCCTTCTCCGCAGCAGCGCAGGACCTACCTCCCCTGGCCAAGTCATCCAGCATCACGAGAGTCCTCTCCGCACGACCCGAGTCCGTGGATACATCCCCGTCCCGTGCTGACGACAGCTACTGCCTCCACACTGCCCGGTATGCCTTCCAGGAAGACTCCGCCAAGGAATCCAATACCAAGCCCATCAGACCTCGAAATCGAGCTTCCATAAGGAGTCTGGACACCGCAGACCGTTCCGCTGCGCCTCTGGCGCTGCCTCGCGAAACCGCTCCCACTGCAAGCGAGACAATGCATCAGCCACCACGTTCTGAACACCCGGGACATGCTGCGCCCGCACCCAAATATTAAACTTAAGACTAAGGAGCACGAGGTGACGAGGATGACGAACGGGCAATCACATGAACCACACTCATGTTGTCCGTGTGAAAGACCACCGTGTGATTTCTCAGATCCTCGCCCCACAGTTCCAGCGCGACCACTATCGGAAACAGTTCCAAAAAGGTCAAATTCTTCCTCAATAAAGAAGACCGCCAATCCTGCGGCCACTCCCCCGCGCACCACTGACCCCGAAAATACGCTCCAAAACCAACGGACCCCGAGGCGTCGGTAAAGAGATCCAACGCGGCGTTGGAGGTGGCCTCCCTCAACCAGCAAGAGTGCCCGTTGTAACTACGTAGGAAGGAGCTCCACACCGCCAGATCCGACCTGAGGCGCCTCGTGATCCGAATGTAATGGAAGGGTTCCCTCACCCCTGCCGTGGACAAAGACAATCTGCAACAAAATGCCCGACCCATCGGTAACACTCGACATGCGAAAACCAAGTGCCCCAAAAGGCCCTGCATCTGCCGCAACTGAACCTTCTTGGAACCTTTGACCAAGTCCACTAGCCGAAGCAACCCCTCCAACTTCTCCTCAGGAAGCCGGAAAACCATGCTCTCAGTATCGATCTCGATACCCAAGAACGAAAGAACCAACACTGGGCCGACCGTCTTTTGTTCGGAAACTGGAACACCGAACTCCGACGCTACCCGCCGGAATGCCTGAAGCAACGCCATACAATCCTGGGAACCCGACGGACCGACAAACAAAAAATCGTCCAAGTAATGGGTCAAGGACCCCAAACCCAAAACTCTAGACGTGACCCACTCCAAAAAGGAAGAAAACAGTTCGAAATAAGAACAAGATATAGCGCAACCCATGGGCATGCACATATCATAATAGAAGCAACCGTTCGCAAAACACCCCAACAAATGAAAACAATCCGGATGAACCGTCAACAAACGAAAGGCCGATTCAATATCCGATTTTGCCAACAAGGCCCCATGACCGGCCCGCCGCAGGAGGAGCAAGGCCGAGTCGAAGGACGCATAACGCACCCGACACGCATCCCTGTCAATGTCATCGTTGACTGACGCCCCCGAGGGGTACGAGAGATGGTGAATCAACCGAAAAGTTCCCGGGTCTTTTTTGGGTACCAGACCCAACGGAGACACTCTCAAGTTGTGGAACGGGGGGGAATCAAAGGGACCGGCCATGCGGCCTTGTTGAATCTCCGCCTCCAGCTTTCCTTGCAATAAACCCTCCCTACCCCGCGTGGACCGAAGATTGTCAGCAAACCGGCCCTCATCCGACAGCACAAAGGGAATCCAGAAACCCATTGTAAAACCGTCGAACAAAAGGCTTGCGACGTCCCTCTTAGGATACCTGCTTAACCAGGGACGCATCTTTTCCACGCTCACCGGCGTCCTCGCCGCGAGGAACGTCGTCCCTACCAGAGCCCTTGGCGGCCGATGGTCTGCCCTTCTTGAAACAACGGAGAGCCGGGTGGGCTCCCCCACAATGGGCACACTCGTGCCGGAATCTACAAGAGCTAAACCACTTACAGTGGCTCTCGTTGAAGAGCCAACAAACTCCCTTCCGCTGACCTGCCGACGTCCCCATGGGGACGCCGGCGACCCCTGAAAAGGGGGAGGGTCTACACAGGGTCATCAGTAGCAGCCACAGGCTGCCGTCCTGCACCCCGAAGCCCATCCCCGGACACGCCGCCATCTTCTGGTGGAATTGCTGGTCGTATTTGAACCAGCATTGTCCCCCATACACTTTGTAAGCGCCCCAAATTAAATCCAAATAACCAAATAATGAAGGGGCCCTCTCTGGGAACCGACGCACTAGCACGCTAGCAAAGATATTAAATCCCTGCAGCCAGTTACCGAAAGTACGCGGGATAGCCTTACCCTTCTCCCCGTCCAGTTGTTCACCACAACGCGGTCTGTCCACAGACTCCTTGTCCGGCGGAACGAGAGAAAGAAGATCCACATACTCGCCCTGAATAATCTTCTCCTGCACCTCAGCAGGCACATGTAAACCTAAAGGGGCCAGCTCGCACCCCGGGAGAAAGGAACCAACCCCCATACCCTGACCCCTCAAACTATCCGTCCCACCTGTACCCTGAACCCCGAGACCACTGCCCCTGGCTTGACCCTCCACTAAAAAGTCAGGATCCCTGCACTTCCAAAGCTGACTGGTAAGTCCCCTCCCCTAACTGTCCTTATAACTGTCTTCCATCTTGGCAACTATGTTTCCATTTATACCCCTCCCTTCCACTACTCCTTCAAGACTCCTTATCCTAGCCGCAGTCATGTCCCCCCTTCCTTGTCAGTCCAGGGAGGTGTCTTGACTGCTGTCTAGATGTCTGTACCACCCACCCAATGCCCCCATTTCCCCAATAACACACAGAGACCGTAATTACGTTGGGTAAGGGCATCGGCCACAGCTTTTATTTATTTCATTTCCATGCCAGCAACATAATCATACTGTCAGCTGTTGGGGTGATTGCCCAACAGACAGGTCTATCCCCACAAACCATGAGTCCTGAGCAGCCTGCCTCCGCCATCAGCTCCCAACAGGCTGCGACTCCCCAAGCCTCCTCGGCAACTTCACCACTTCTGCCTGCGCTGGCCAGGACTCCCGCGTGCTGTGACAAAAACAAGAAAAGACAACCAACAACAGGCACCAACAACCAACCCACATTCCTGTCTAACCAAATGTCCTAGGGGCGGGAGGGCGGGAAAGTCAGGATCCCTGCACTTCCAAAGCTGACTGGTAAGTCCCCTCCCCTAACTGTCCTTATAACTGTCTTCCATCTTGGCAACTATGTATCCATTTATACCCCTCCCTTCCACTACTCCTTCAAGACTCCTTATCCTAGCCACAGTCATGTCCCCCCTTCCTTGTCAGTCCAGGGAGGTGTCTTTATATTCAGACACCCCCTGCAATCAATCACAAATATTACATACAAACACACCTCTGTATTAAAACACTAAAACTATACACAAACACCATCACTGTACATTACACTATACTACCAGTAAATGTACAGAAATACAACCTCGAAATTTTGAGTTGGGGAGCCTTGGAAAAATATTGAAATATTAAGGGCACCTTAAATGTAAAACGTTTGGGAACCACTGTTTTAAAAGCATTAATGAAATGATGTATACAAAATGAAACTGATCATGTCTAGGGTTTTGTTATCAGTTATTATTATTATTATTATTATTATTATTATTGCCATTTATATAGCGCCAACAGATTCCGTAGCGCTTTACAATATTATGAAAGGGGATTTAACTATAAATAGGACAATCACAAATAAACTTACAGGAACAATAGGTTGAAGAGGACCCTGCTCAATCGAGCTTACATTCTATAGGACGTGGGGTGTAAAACATATTAGGACAGGGATGTGCAATCAAATAAGGTGGGCTGCCCTTTAGGAGAGGGCAAGAGACGGGTATGTGAGGTAGGGGTTAGTCTTGGAGGCCATAAGCTTTCCTAAAGAGATGGGTTTTAAGGCACTTCTTAAAAGATGCAAGACTAGGGGATAGTCGGATGGCGGTAGGCAGGCTATTCCATAGGAAGGGAGCCGCCCGCGAGAAGTCCTGCAAGCGCGAGTTGGCCGTACGGGTGCGGACAACGGACAGGAGGTGGTCACGGGCAGAGCGGAGAGACCGAGAAGGGACATACCTGTGGATCAGTGAGGAGATATAAGAGGGGCTAGAGTTGTTCAGTGCTTTATAGGTGTGAGTTAGTGCCTTGAATTGACTCCTATAGCACACAGGAAGCCAATGTATGGACTGGCAGAGGGGTGAGGTGTGAGAGAACCGACTAGAGAGGAAAATCAGTCTAGCAGCAGCATTCATTACAGACTGTAGGGGTGCAGTACGGCTTTTGGGTAGACCAAGCAGGAGAGGGTTACAATAATCCATGCGTGAAATTATTAGAGCATGGACAAGCTCCTTGGTAGTATCTGGTGCAAGAAAGGGGCGGATGCG